CTACAATTGGAACTCCATCCATCGGACAGGAACTGTACACGGTTTCTCTGGTTAAAGGATATTCATAGTGCAGTCACTGAAGAGAATCTGAAACGATATCGTTTCAAAAGAGTTCCCTTTGGGGTGATTTCCTCGCCTTTTTTACTATCTGCGACGCTCAATCATCACCTCGAAATCAATGGAATCAAACTTGCACTAGAAATTAGGAAGAATCTCTATGTGGATAACATCATATTATCAGCCATGAACACAGAAGAAGCCTTACGGAAATATGAAGAAACAAAATCCATTTTTGGCGATGCTGCAATGAATATTCGAGAATTCCTGTTAACTGACGAAAACTTCAACACCAAAATTGCCGAACAAGATCGAGCAAACATGGAGGTAAAGAAAATCCTTGGCATTAATTGGGATTATCTAAGGGACACTATTCAATTAACAGCAAAACCATGGACTGAAAAAGAACTAACTAAAAGAGCAGTCCTACAATTTGTCGCCTCTCAATATGATCCCTTGGGATTCCTTGTCCCAATGATGATTCCATTTAAATTATTCCTGCAAAATTTGTGAAAAAAGAATAATGGTTGAGATCAACTTATAAGCGGCGAAGATGCTGAAATATGGAATTCTCTCATATCTGACCGGCCAACAAACATAAAGGAGCTTCCGCAATTCGTAACAGACTATTCAAGCCAAATTCAATCCAGTGTAGCATATCCTGCAGCAGTATATCTCCGAAGTCATAGAAGTCAAGGAATAGAAACACTTTTAGTCTTTGCTAAATCTCGTATCACGCCAATTAAAGGAATGACCATACCTCGACTAGAATTATTAGCGATACTCATAGGGGTGCGAGCAGCACGTTTCGTCATCAAGCAATTGAAATTAGAAACCACGGCGGTAACTTTATGGTCCGATTCCAAGTGTGCTATTCACCGGATTCAAAACTATTCCAAACTTCTATCACGATTCGTACAAAAACCGCGTCGAGGAAATATAGGAAGCAAAATTTTTATTCCGATACATTCCAAGTGAGCATAATCCCGTGGATA